ATATATATATATATATATATATATATATTTATTTATTTATTTATATCGTGTTTATGTGTTTTTGTAAGTGTGAGTGTGTATGTGTGTGAATTTTTTCTTATGGAATCTAAATTATACTAACTCTAACTCAACGTAATGAAAGTTAAAAACCTTTACAAAATCGTTGAGCACCAACTGCCATTTTTTTATGACCCAGCTATTGACATTACTTTGCAAAGAACTATCTCACTGCTAGCGACCTACAACAATAACTATTCATCGATTATCGCCCAGCCGGCATCTCTTACATCGTCACGTTCGTAATGAGTTTTGGAAGACTTGCAATAATAACCTCGTAACCAACTGTTAACAAAATTGTAATAATAAATAAAGCCTTCTGCTGGCCCATGAAATTTTAGAAATAACGCATTGGTGTAGGCCGTAGAGATTATAAAACTTGCCCTGACCTTATATGCGGCCCTCGATTGCAATTCAGGTTTGGTGCCCTCCTAGATAAACCGCAGTACTACAGTTTTCTACATTCAAATTTTCAAAAACATTACTCTATTTTAACGCAAATGATATCAATTTTAATTGTACATATTAAATATTTATAAATAATTTTCATTGTTCAGAAGTCTAAATTGAGACCTTATTATGGTATTTTTAAATAGGAATATTAGAAATTTTGCCGCCCAGTGCCCACTTCTCGCTTTGTCACTGCGATGACACGGACATCAACGGTACAAAACACGAAAGAATCCTCATCTGTAGCCAATATCGCAAAAACTAGTATTTTGCGTTCTGTCCAGACCGGAGACACACTAACAAAACATACACAAAAAGTCTGAAATTTGGCATGGATAACCTCTACTTGACCAACCTCAAAGCTGAATAAGTTCAACGAGAGCACTCAGAATGAAATGAAACAAAATGTGCTTTTAATTCAACTACTCCAAATAGAAAAAAAACGTCAAGTTTATCAAGCCCGGCCTCCTTCCATCCAAGTTGATATTACTTTGCTTCGATTATGCCGTGAAATTATTTCGTGATAAATACAAATATTGGTAAAAATAAATAGTACATAAAAAACTTATTTAAAATTAAAAAAGTTAAAATTGAATGATTTTTATGAAATTTTTTCTATAATGCTTGTTCAGTTATTTTTTAAAAATCAATATATTTCATTTGTGGCAAAACCAAAATTTTTTTGAGGGGACAGTTGACATTTCCGAAAAATTGACAATTTTATTAAACTGAATTTTCCTAAAATATTTCATGGCTTATATTAAATTATTCAAAAATAATTTAAAAAATAACTTGATTGTTCCAAAGAAAATTAATTATAAAATAAATTTTACTAGGGTACCCATTAGCCTGCGGGCCTCTGTTTCTTTTTTTACCCAAATTATGCATTGAATTTGAATATCAGTTGAAACACTTGAAATTATAAGAAGTTATTTTGTTAAAAATTGAAATAACTTTAAGTCAGGGTTCAATTGATTTAATTTACATTGGCATCTGCTTAAAAGGTTCAAACATTTTTATCTGCTCCTAAAACATTTTTTTATACGGAAGAACTAATCACTGCTCAGGCAGATTATTTTTGCCTATCGCCCATCTAAGTGTAAATTAGATACGTTTGGAGGGATTGTTTTTAAATTCGGAAGTTAATGGCCTTATTTGCTCTTTTCCGTTTACTTGACTGCTACATTCAACACTGATCTTTAATGTTTTCATGATCTGGTGGGCCTGCATTCCTGGATCTGCCACTGATGGTAGCATGCTTTCTGTATTTCATTTAAACTCCGTTGTAAAATACAATAGAGCTAATGGCTATCGAAAGATTGAAGTGTTTGTCTTGAAGACTCTTCAACGTTATATTTAACATTATTTTCTCTATGTTTAGTAAGATTTATTTTCCACTATTTATTACATATCAATACTTTCTACGTATTGACGTTAAAAGTGCAAATCTCGTTTTTTACTTTAAATCCAGATAAACATTTTTCGAACATCATGCATATTTATCTATATTTATTTAGATTATAAGGAACAGATGATACAATCACATGAGCTTTAAAATAATCCAAAAACATACTTTTTTTTATCATTTTTTAGGGCTATTGGTCCTTTGCAAGTTAGCCGTATTTTTTTTACCAATTTGTTGATGATGAAAAATTTTGAAAATTACCCATGACGCTTG